CCTAAAAAGTGTTAAATTTTGGAAAAAAATTTTCACGAACATTAATTGTCACGCACAACGAGTCTGTGTCGAAAATGTCAGCTCGATTGGATCACGGGAAGTGGGTTAAAAAACGACCGAAAGATTGGCACGGTCGTAAGCAAGCAAGCAAGTGAACTTAATATAAAGGATTAAAAAAACCAGCCCTCGCCAGCATCCCTCACCTGCCAACCCACACGGTTTACCCCCCAATTCTTGTGCAGGGGAATTGAGTTTTCAGGTCCAGACGGCCCACAGCCGTTTCAATGCGGGCACAAAACGTGAATTGTCTATACTCTTAGGGTTTTGTCGGTAAAGTCACGTAGGTAAAAATAAACAAATAATAAGAAATAAATAGGAAATAAATAAATATATTTAGCAATAAAATACTAATAATAGAAATATACTAAACATTTAAATAAATTAAATTAATATTTCTATATTTTTTATTTATATTTATTTATTTTTGCCCACGTGACTTTACCGAAAAAACCTAAGAGTATGAATCCTTGCAGTCACGAAAGCTTCAAATCTCGAGTGAATTGTCTATTTGTGTGTTTCTCGCTTGCGATGGGACTCTGTAAGATGAACGTCGAGATTTATAAAGGGCACGGGGTGACCGATACGGTCTAGAATTGGTCTGGAACAAGGTAGGGGCATTAATTCTAGATTTGAAGCTTTCGTGACTGCTTGGATTCATATTCTTAGGTTGTTTCGGTAAAGTCACGTAGGTAAAAAATTTTTTTATTTAAATTAATAAAAGTACTTTCATTAATTTTTTTTACCTACGTGACTTTACCGAAAAACCCTAAGAATATGAATCCTTGCAGTCACGAAAGCTTCAAATCTAGAATTAATACCCTCTACGGGGAGGAATTCCACCTATTTGTTAGAGTTTTTAACAGACGAGACAAGAAGTCACAGCTTCTCGAGACGCTGGCCTTCCTAAAGAGATGCACTTGATACAGCTATCGTGCTGTGACGGTTCCACCTGAAGACGGAAGCTTGTGTTGCCTCCGAAAAGTCGTGATTTTTATTTTACTTTTATTAATTTAAATTTTATGTTTTTTACCTACGTGACTTTACCGAAAAAACCTAAGAATAAGGTAGGGGCAACTGATAAGGGGTCAACACGTGATGCCATTCATCCGAGCGAACCGTCCTGACTGTTGCTGATGAGACACCATGCGCACGAAACCTGCCCCATTGCCGGCATTGACCCGAGCGAGATGCCGAAACCGGTTGAGTGAGTTTTGCCTCTCTCCAAGACAATGCCACTGACATTCTACACTCACGGGGGGAAGAGGCGGCTGACGGGCGCACCTCTGATTAGCGCGGTTGGCTAAATACGGCGCGAAAGAAGTTCAACACATGTACGTACACAGACTCACGCAGAGACACATAGACTCTCACAGAGACCCACAGACTCACACAGAGACCCATAGACTCGCACAGAGACCCATAGACTCGCACAGAGATTTGTAGACTCACACAGAGACCCACAGACTCACACAGAGACTTGTAGACTCTCACAGAGACCCACAGACTCGCACAGAGACCCATAGACTCGCACAGAGACCCACAGACTCGCACAGAAACCCATAGACTCGCACAGAGACCCACAGACTCACACAGAGACCCACAGACTCACACAGAGACCCATAGACTCGCACAGAGACCCATAGACTCACACAGAGACCCACAGACTCACACAGAGACCCACAGACTCACACAGAGACCCACAGACTCACACAGAGACCCATAGACTCACACAGAGACCCATAGACTCGCACAAAAACCCACAGACTCGCACAGAGACCCACAGACTCACACAGAAACCCATAGACTCACACAGAGACCCATGGTTAGCACGGTTGGCTACGTACGGCGCGAAAGAAGTTCGACACACGTCCACAAGTCCAACCTGTGTTGATTTGTAGAGTCGGCCACGTGAAAAAGGCATTGTCCACTTATCTCTTCCGTTATTTACAATCTTCTACGCAGACGCTAATTATTATTTTAAGCAGTGTTCTTAATTAACTCAACACCTACACACACCAAAAAAGATAAAGATCCCCCATATAGCCTTGACAGACTGTAGGGGCAAGTGCTGTTAGCGAGCACCTATGAAGGCCGCAACGGCACACGACGGGGTGGGTGGCCAGCACCCCGCCCGACCGCCTTTGTCTCCCCAGTGGTGATGTTTACACACCGCACCAGGTACTCATTTGAGGCTGAGTCGACCTAGGGGAGGCCAAAGACCGGTTCAGATAATTGTCACTGGGTGTTGGCCGTGAGCGGGAATCAAACTCGGGTGGCCGGGTTCGTAGCGCAGCGCGCTAACCGCTACACCACCGCTCCCCACGCACACCAACACGTACATACACACCAACACATACATACACACACATACACACACACACGAACACACACACAGACTACAAAGACGCACACAACAGGGAAGCTATCGGAGCAAACGATGTCGTTAATTGTGGGTGGAGGTGGGGTTGGGGTTGATGGTAAACATCGTCTCGATCATCATTAGACCTTCTTTGCCAGTACCAACATATAATAATTGGCTTTTTCCCCTTTTTTAAATTATATTTTGGTACTGCCAAAGGAGGTCTAATGATGTAGATGCTCACCCCAAGCCCTCGTTACTTTGATAGTGCATCGTCTTTGAGCTGTACGCCTTTTGGCGTCATCTGATCTAACACCGAGACGAGGCTCAAAAGAAAGCCGTCTCTGGTGTGGACCAATCAGTTTCAAGGACAATGCATATTTTATCAGTGTTTTTTTTTTCGATTTAAAGCTTTCGTGACTGCAGGGATTCATCTTCTTGGTTCTTTCGGTAAAGTCACGTAGAAGGGAAGTAATAAAATAATAAAAATAATAAATAAATTCCCTTCTACGTGACTTTACCGAAAGAACCAATAAGTGTGTTTTTTGTTTGCATTTTGACCGCAAGCGACGTGATTGATGCAGTAACATGAATCCTCGTAAAAAGGTTTCAGAAAAAAAGTGGTAACCCCCCTAATTCTTATAGCCTCGATCATTGGGGGCATTGCAAGCGGGGAGGGCGTTGGGTCACGTGAGCTTCGTGCCACTACGGGGGGGGGTAGAGATTTACAACTCGAGGGGCCACGGTGACGCGGGGGGGGGGCTGGTGGTTTTAATTGGGGGGGGGGGAGGGGGTGGTTAGGGGAGTCCAGGTGAGAGGGGTCCACGTGGGGTCACCAAGGGGACCCACGTGGAGTGAGTCCCCATGTGGAGTAGCCGAGGGGAGGCTCGCTCGGACGAAACGAGTTGTCATGGCGGGGGTGGTTGTGGTGGAGGTGGTGGTTGTGGTGGAGGTGGTGGTGGTGGTTGTGGTGGAGGTGGTGGTGGGGGTGGTGGTGGTTGTGATGGGGGTGGTAGTGATGGTGGTGGTGGTGATGGTGATGGGGGTGGTGGTTGTGGTGGTGGTGGTAGAGGTGGTGGTGACGGGGGTGGTGGTGGGTGGTGTTGGTGGGAGTGGTGGGGGTGGTAATGGGGGTGGTTGTGGTGGTGGTGATGGTGATGGGGGTGGTGGTTGTGGTGGTGGTGGTAGAGGTGGTGGTGACGGGGGTGGTGGTGGGTGGTGTTGGTGGGGGTGGTGGGGGTGGTGATGGGGGTGGTGGTGGTTGTGGTAGAGGTGGTGGTTGTGGTGATGGTGGTGATGGGGGTGGTGGTGATGGGGGTGGTCGTGGTGGTGATGGGGGTGGTGGTTGTGGTGGTGGTGGTAGAGGTGGTGGTGACGGGGGTGGTGGTGGGTGGTGTTGGTGGTGGTGATGGTGGTGGTGATGGTTGTGGTGATGGTTGTGGTGGTGGTGGTGATGGGGGTGGTGATGGTGGTTGTGGTGGTGGTGGTGATGGGGGGTGGTGGTGGTGGTGGTGGTTGTGGTGATGGTGATGGTGGTGGTGATGGGGGTGGTGATGGTGGTGGTGGTGGTGATGGTGGTGGTGATGGTTGTGGTGGTGGTGATGGTTGTGGGGGTGGTGGTGGTGGTTGTGGTGGTGGTGGTGATGGTGGTGGTGGTGATGGTGGTGGTGGTGGTGGTGGTGATGGTGGTGGTGGTGATGGTGGTGGTGATGGGGGTGGTGGTGGTGATGGTGGTGTTGGTGGTGATGGGGGTGGTGGTGGTGGTGATGGTTGTGGTGGTGGTGGTGATGGGGGTGGTGATGGTGGTGGTGATGGTGGTAGTTGTGGTGGTGGTGGTGATGGGGGTGGTGTCTCCCGGTCATGTCTGGACATGACCGGTCATGGCTAGTGTCGGCTCGCTGCTGAACTCGATTCGTGTTGTTGCTACCGGGTGTGTGAGTCCCCGACTTGACCTCTTGTGATGTAGCACCATCATCACCATCATCACCACCATCACCATCATCATCACCATCATCATCACCATCATCATCATCACCACCACCATCATCACCACCATCATCATCACCATCATCGCCATCATCATCACCATCAGCACCACCATCATCACCACCATCACCACCATTATCATCATCACCATCACCATCATCACCATCATCACCATCATCATCACCATCATCACCATCATCACCACCATTATCATCATCACCATCACCATCATCACCATCATCACCACCATCATCATCACCATCATCACCATCATCATCACCATCATCACCATCACCACCATCATCATCATCACCATCATCATCACCCCCCCCACCACCACCCCCACCACCCCCACCAACACCGCTGATGAGATGGTGAATGTCTCAACCGACCAACAGTTTGCGCGCGTTGAATCACCGTCAACCCCCGCGTTATCTCACGCCGCCCTAAATATAACTCCGGAGATTCGTCGCCACCTCGCTCCGGTCACGAGCTCACGTTCCCGGAGCGGCCTCTCATCGATTGGCCAGAGAGCCGGCGAGCAGCACGGCTACTTGACGACACCACCACCACCACGAGCTCAGCCCAGAGAAACATTTCCCCCCCCCCCACCGGCTTTTCTGAGTGGCTCTGCGCCTCGTGATGGGCTATAAACCTCCCCATTCCCTCCCCGTGTTCACACCTTGATACCACCACCACCACCAACCCACCAACCCATCCACTCTCCATCCCACACAGACACAACACGGACACACACAAGTCCGCCCACGTATTCCGGGGTGATGGTAGGGGAAGGTGGGAGGCACATCTGTGATCATCATTTCGCCTGGAGCAAAAGTCGATCGGGTTGAACGACTTCTGGCCGCCTTCTGAAACCGGTAAGGGTTTTATTTTAATCTCTTTCTATCTCTCTCTTGGACCCTGTTCCCGCATCGCGAATGATGTTTCGTCAAAGCCCGCTCGTGTTCCCTGCTCATCACGACTGTCACCATCATCATCACCATCATCATCATCTTCTTCTTGTTCAACGGCAGTGGTATCATCGTCGTCATCATCATCTTCAGCAGCAGTTTCATCAGAAGCGGCAGTATCATCATCATCAGCAGCAGCAGTATCATCAGCAGCAGTATCACCATCATCACCACCATCACCACCATCATCATCATCACCATCATCAGCACCACCATCATCATCATCACCATCATCATCACCAGCATCATCATCACCACCACCATCAGCACCATCATCATCAGCTGGTGCGTGTGTGCTGCTGTGTGGGCAGTGTGGGCCGCTCGCGACGCACCAAAGGTGCCCCGTGTAGCCTGCCACAGAGTGTCGGGGCAAGTGCTGCTAGCGACTGGCTGACACGGCAGTGGGTGGGTGGCCAGCAACCACGCTCGACCGCCTTTGTCTTCCCCCAGTGGCGATGTTTGTTTTACGCACCGCACCCAGGTGCTCATTCGAGGCTAAGTCGACCTAGGGGTGGCCCAGGCCCTGTGCTGATATAATTATCGATCAGCGGTGTTGGCCGTGAGCGGGGATCGAACTCGGGTCGCCGGGTTCGTAGCGCAGCGCTGATCGCTTCGGCAACGCACGGACACACAAGACAAAGATCCCCCGTGTAGCCTTTAACAGATTGTTGGGGCAAGTGCTGTAGGCGATTTGCACCTATGAAGGCCGGCACGGCACACACGTGTACACACACTCAGAAGTGATTACACACACACGTGTACACACACACACGTGTACACACACACACGTGTACACACGTATACACACGTGTACACACACACAGAAGTGATTACACACACATACACGTGTACACACACACACACGTGTACACACACAGAAGTGATTACACACACACCACACACACACACGTGTACACACACACAGTGTACACACACGTGTACACACGTATACACACGTGTACACACGTATACACACACACGTGTACACACACACACAGATGTGATTACACACACACCACACACACACGTGTACACACACACACACGAGTGTACACACACGCGCGCACACGATTCCCGCTCACGTCCAGATTATCCGAACCGGTCCTGGGCCCACCCCCTAGGTCGACTCAGCCTCAAACGAGTACCTTGTGTGCGACGCGTAAAAAAATAAAATAAACATCGCCGCTGGAGGAAGACAAAGGCGGCCGGGCGTGTTTGCTGGCCACCCTTCGTCAGTGTTGCGACTCGCTCCGCACTTGCCCCCAGTCTTACCGCAGGCTATCCGGGGCACCTTTGCCTCTGCTTGTGCCATGAGAGTGTTTTGGGGAAACTGGGGCTGGCGTGTGTGTGTGTGGTGGGGTAATCGTTATCTGGAGGAGGTTGCAGCAAGTTTCTCTCTCTCTCTGTGTGTGTGTGCACATTGAAGTTGAGTCACGCAAACAGAGCCGAAGCATTCACACCCTTACCCCCTCCCCCCCCTAGGCCAAAGATAAAAGTCCCCCGTGTAGCCTGTAACAGATTGTGTAGGCAAGTGCTGTTAGCGAGTACCAGCAGCAGCAACCTATGAAGGCCGGAACTGTGGCACACGAGGGGGTGGGTGGCCAGCATCACGCCCGGCCGCCTTTGTCTCCCTCGTGGCGATGTTTTTGCACATCACATCGAGGTAGACATTTGAGGCTGAGTCGACCTAGGGGAGGGCCCAGGACCGGTTCAGATCATCCGTCACCGGTGTTGGCGGTGAGCGGGGATGGAACTCGGGTGACCCCGTGGGGTTGGTAGCGCGCTCACTGCGACAACTCCCGCTCCCTCACCCAACATCATCATCCACCATCACCACCCACCACTCACTATCACCACCATCACCACTCACTATCACCCACCCACCACTCACCATCACCCACCATCACCACCCACCCACCATCACCACCCAACATCATCATCCACCATCACCACCCACCCACCATCACCACCATCACCACCCACCCACCATCACCACCATCACCACCCACCATCACCACCATCACCACCCACCCACCATCACCACCCACCCACCATCACCACCATCACCACCCACCTACCATCACTACCATCACCAATCACCCACCATCACCACCCATCAGCATTACCACCCACCACTCACCATCACCCACCACTCACCATTACCACCCATCCACCCACCATCACCACCAACCCACCATCACCATCCACCCACCACTCACCATCACCACCCACCACTCACCATCACCCACCCACCATCACCCACCCACCACTCACCATCACCACCCACCACTCACCATCACCCACTCACCATCACCACCCACCACTCACCATCACCACCCACCACTCACCATCACCCACCCACCACTCACCATCACCACCCACCACTCCACCACTCACCACTCACCATCACCCACCACCACTCACCATCACCACCCATTACTCACCATCACCCACCCACCACCCACCATCAGCACCCACCATCACCACCCATCACCAATCACCACCATCACCATCCACCCATCACCCCCCACCCACCAACCACCAACCACCCACCACCACCCACCACCACCACCACCCACCACCACCCACCACCATCACCAATCACCCACCACCACCACCCACCCATCAGCATCACCACCCATCACCACCCACCATCATCACCACCCACCATCACCACCATCACCATCACCACCCACCATCATCACCCATCACCACCCACCCAAAATGAAAACCCGTTTCACCTGTTGAACGGAGGGAGCTTAACGCGTGGAATGTGGCACAGCAACCAAAGCACGAAATCGGATTCAAGGATAATTTATGTTCAACAACAAGTCTCTTGAGAAACACAGCAAACGCGTACACACCACACACACACATACACACACCACACACACATACACACATACACGCAGTACTATGTGTATATATACACTGTACTGTACTGTGTCCAATTGGACCCACGTGGAAATGCGTGGAAATGAAGGGGGTGGGAGTCAAACGTCGGTTTGGCGTCTGTATGTTGGAACTTCTTTCGCACCGCACGTAGCCCAAGCGTGGTTAATCGGGGGAGGGACTAAAAACGACGGGTCTCTGTGTGAGTCTGTGGGTCTCTGTGTGAGTTTGTGGGTCACTGTGTGAGTCTGTGAGTCACTGTGTGAGTCTGTGGGTCTCTGTGTGAGTCTATGGGTCTCTGTGTGAGTCTGTGGGTCTCTGCATGAGTCTATGGGTCTCTGTGTGAGTCCATAGGCCTCTGTGTGAGTCTGTGGGTCTCTGTGTGAGTCTATGGGTTTATGTGTGAGTCTATATCAAAAATTGCATTTTCAATAAAAACTGCGGAAGAAAAATGTTAAATAAATGCGGATATCTACATAAAATGATATTGTAAACACACTATCCTAAAAATACAGCACCATATTTTAACACTAAAGCAGTCACTGACTCGCAACAACTTGCCATCATAAGTGACAGAGTTAATTTCGGGTAAAGTCAATGAAAATGGGATATGCCGATAGCACAAAAATGAGATGTGATAGAGCAAATCTGAGATGAGATTTGGAATCAGCACCCTGAAATTAGTCTAAAACAGCTGCAAAAGTCCAGGCCAGAATGTTTTTTTGTTGACCAGTGTAATCAGCCGCTGGCTGTGTGCGCGCGTGATTTGTGCGAGACCAGATTTGTGTGCAACTTTGTTGACATCGTGAGTGCATTCCGGAGCGGCTTATCACCCACAGAAGAAGGTGCGTTACTTGGTGATGTAACAACAAAAAGTAATATTACAAAAACACTTAGGTAGTTAACACGGCTCAACAGTCACGTCCAAAGGACGTACGGTTCGCGAGTTAATTGTAGAATACATTTCAAGAAACCTTTAACACGTTCGTCAATAACCACTAATGCGGCCTTACAAGAAGACAGAGGTGACGTTTCAGGCAATGGCCCTTCTTCAGAACACAAGTTAAGAACGGCCATCACACATTGGATGAGCTATTGTCCGAAACGTCGTATCGGTATAAGTGACTCATCCACTCACGAACGAGTTATGTTCCAGAAGTATCTGTTCGTAAGTCCAAACTTTACTCCCTGTCGAATACAAACGTGGTGTACGGCGTGTACACTAAACACGGGGAGTGGCTTTAAAAGTTTTATAATCTCCTGCAAATGTAGATGCCACTGGTTCTTCATGTTCTGTAGATGTAGATACCACTGGTTCTTCGTGTTCTGCAGATATAGATACCACTGGTTCTTCACGTTCTGTAGATGTAGATGCCGCTGGTTCTTCACGTTCTGTAGATGTAGACGCCACTGTTTCTTCACGTTCTGCAGATGTAGACGCCACTGTTTATTCACGTTCTGCAGATGTCGATACCACTGGTTCTTCACGTTCTGCAGATGTAGATGCCACTGGTTCTTCATGTTCTGCAGATATAGATGCCACTGGTTCTTCATGTTCTGTAGATATAGATGCAACTGGTTCTTCACGTTTCCTCAGATGTAGATGCCACTGGTTCTTCATGTTCTGCAGATATAGATGCAACTGGTTCTTCACGTTCTGCAGATGTAGATGCCACTGGTTCTTCGTGTTCTGCAGATGTAGACGCCACTGTTTCTTCATGTTCTGTAGATGTCGATACCACTGGTTCTTCGCGTTCTGCATATGTAGATGCCGCTGGTTCTTCATTTTCTGCAGATATAGATGACATTGGTTCTTCATGTTCTGCAGATATAGATGCCACTGGTTCTTCACGTTCTGCAGATGTAGATGCCACTGGTTCTTCACGTTCTGCAGATGTAGACGCCACTGTTTCTTCACGTTCTGCAGATGTAGATGCCGCTGGTTCTTCATTTTCTGCTGATATAGATAACATTGGTTCTTCATGTTCTGCAGATGTAGATGCCACTGGTTCTTC